TGCTCAACAAAACATCCAGTGCTCATGGTTAAATGGGAGGAAAAATCATGCCAAAAGAGGTCTGGTAGGACAGGAACTGATATGTACATTTTATGATCTGTAAAATCCTGTGAATAATAATAATAATAAATCTTGCCTATGATATAGTGCTTTATCATGCTGTTAAGACCTCTCAAAGAGCTTCAAAGTATATAATGTAAAGTGAATGGACTGTAAATTTTGCAGGCAAAAACACAGCAGCCAATTGCGCACAGCAGTGTCCCACACACAGTTGTGGATTCAGTGACCAAATGATTATAATTTTTTATATAAAGATCAATGGGTATGTGAGTCAGTGTGCTTTAGGTGCTAGATACCTCCAGAAGCAGTAGCCTCTCACTATAACAGACAATGAAGGTAGGTATGCAGAAAGAAGTACTACAAATGGCAGTTTTCACCAGTGTTTCTGTGGTCAGATTGCAGAAATCGTGAATGATCATATTCCACCATTTTGTTTTAATAAACCACTCCATGTTTTGTCTACCAAAGATAAAACATTGTTGCTATGCCTGTAGAAATATGAAACTTCTGACATAATAAATTCTTGGAAAATTAATGTACACTGATTGTTGTGAGACTTCTAATAAAGATTGTCAACGTTTCAATGATATTGGAGGAGCCATGGATGTGCACAGCTTGATAATATCAGTGTCTGAAATGAGATTTAAACAGATCAGACAGGAGCCTGCTAAGGACAGAGATATGCAGATTCTCCAAGAGACTGAACATAATGGATAACCAGAGCAAAAGCAGTCTCGCTTCAAGGAAATTATGGATTACAGAGTTGAACTCTCAGTGTTCAAGGGTACAGCTTTCAAAGGCAGGAGTATTGCAATTTCCCATAGTTTGTATGAGGAAAGTTAACAAAATATTCATATGGGACATCTGCTTTTGAGAAGCCCAACAACAAAGCATATCCTTATATAGTGCCTTTCATGTAGATTGAATGTCTCAAAATGCACAATACAATACAATTTACATTCATATAGCTCTTACGTGTCCAGAGAATACCTTAAAGCATTTGAGATGCTTCACGGGGTTGACAGAAACATATCTCCCTAAAATATTGGTAAATTAAGAACAGGAGGGCATCCCAAGGAGCTGGACATTCAGGGATTTCGATCCGAGCTGGGGGTTGAAATCATTCTTCACAGAATATATTGTAAAGTTAATCGACTGTATCTTTTTCCTTGAACAGAAAAGAGAGGAATGTAAGGCTGAGCCGTACGCTCAGGGGTGAGCTCAACATTCAGTATGGGATCTGAGATTAATACATTAGTCAATGGAAATCGGCTATTTGTGGCTGTTTGTAGCTTTTGGAAAACTGTAGTTGTTGAACACGGTGAGTGACATCTGGGCCTCCAAAGAGAATTTTAACTTCCATTTGAGCAATTGTTTTTTAATTTAAGCCAATTGTCTTGGTCATTAACTCCACTTCAGTTTATTCATGAAGAGCAATCTCCTCGAGGTTAGCAACTTTAAGAAAGCCATCAAGATGTAGGGAAGCCAGAAAAGGAGCAGAAACGCTACCTGGATTAGCTTACTGAATTTCTACCATTGTCACAACCTCCTAACTCGATCCACGTGAGAAACCAGAAACTCCAGGACTGGTATTGGTCAGAGAAAGGGACTACATTATCTCAAGTTACATTCAGGGCTTATATCACGAAAACTGAGAGATTTTAAAAGCACTATTGTAATCAAATCAGTAAACCCTAATATTCAGAATTCATCACATTTATCACAGAATTTACCAGAGCACAAACTAGATATAAGCAGCACAATAATGAAACAGACTTTGATGAATCACAACCACTAACTAAGCTTATAGCCATATTGTGTAACCTTAGTGGAAACTACATGGAGACTAGAATCCTCTAAACTGTTTAACACAGTTGTTTTTGGGATATGGCAATGTGCAAACTGGCTGTCGTACCTGCTTACAAAATACACTGTCACTACACTTTATCGTAAACCCTGTGAAGTACTTTGGGATGTCCTCCCAACCTGAAAGGTGCTACATCAAATGCAAGGATTTATTTTTATCTTTATTATAAGGCCACTGCAGATCAGTTCCTGATTTGAGACTGTGCTCTACTGTAGGAAAGAGGTGCTGAAAGATTTATTTGACAAAGTTTCCCTGAGCTCTGGGATCATTTTCTTCACAACACCACAAGAGAGATTTTAATGAGGAAAGACAATTTGATTTGGTACCATTTGGAACTGGCCATTCTTCTCATTGCAAAGTCAAATTGTTTCTTAAAAATGTCCAGCTCTGCAGCTTCAACCACCTTCATGGTAACTGATCAGTTGTGGATTGCCCACTCTGTGGAATTAAAATCATAAAAAATCAAAAGAGATGTTAATGTAACATAAGGCAACTCATGGAAAGCAATTGGTTGCCGCGTTTCGCCCACAAAATCCACTTCACGATATATTCAGTGAAGCACTTTGAGACCTCTCGGAGAGGTGATAAGGCGCTATATCAAATGCAAGGATTATTATTATTATTAAACACATTTTGTGAGATGTTAAAGAGTTGGTCAAAATCAAATGAAGTTCTTTTACAGCATCTTGTACATCATGCCTTTGGCCACCAGGTTGAGCTAATGTTGAGCATTTTAGTGGAAGGATGTTCAGCAACAATTTTCCACAATTCTGATTAAAAGATGCAAAATCCCAACAAATTTTCATAGCACCAAATGCAGCCCATTATTTTTTTTTCCCTCCAGATTAAATATTTTTAAAAAGCAGTGTGCCAGCCATGTTGAGATCATTAATAAGCACGTGCATTTGCGATTTACTTGACTTTTTTGTATCCTATTTCTGGAACAGCGCTGCCTGTTCCTATGGGGAGGAAAAGTTGTTTGGACCTCCTTACCTATTGCAAGCCAATGAGTAAGCAGATTCACACAATTCGCTATTTACATGATCAGTTAACCCAAAGAGTGAAATAGGTCTTCCCGGAATTATCATCATAATTATCGTGAGTGAAGATAAAAAACAAGTGTTAAGCAAAAAAATTGTGGTCACTTAATCCACGACTGTTTGCAGGACACTGCTTGTGCATTCGGCTGTCTCATTCCTCCCACCAAATACACAGTCAATCCACTTTATAATATATTCTATGAAGCGCTTTGAAACGGCTCAACAATGTGATAAAGCACTATATCAAATTCAAGGGTTATTATGATTATTATTATTAAAAGATTTGAAACAATTCATATCTGTCCTTTATTTTAGTGGCGTCTTGTAGCTTTAATGATTAGAGCACTCACCTCGCAAGCGAGAGGACCCGGGTTTGATGTTAGTCAAGTTTCCTTACTTTACACGCCTCTGTTACCTAGTAGTAAGTGGGAACCCGGTTGTTAGTCGATTGGCGGATCGCTTTTCTGGGAATAATAATCTGTTTGTGGGACACTGCTGTGCGCAATTGGCTGCTGCGTTTCGTCCACAAAATATAGTCAATTCACTTTACAGTATAGTCTGTGAAGCGCTTTGAGACGTCTCGAAGACGTGATAAGGCGCTATATCAAATGCTAGGAATATTATTATTTTTATGTTGCACTAAGGAATTATGTGACTATTAGCATTATTTTAAATGATGGACAGTGTTTAGGCTCTAGGTTACAAGTGGATAAAACAGCAGCTTAGACCTACACAATGAACTTCTTTGAGCACCAACACTTTGTCCTTAATAAGCTGTTTCTCACTTAAAATTCCCACAAATTCTCCGCTTTGAGGCTGTACTTGCCCACGGATAGGAATAGGATTTGAGGAGCTGAATCTCACACAGAATAACAAGACTGCAAATAATAACAGGTAGAAAAACAAAACATCCCCACTTTGCTGGGTGCAGGCAGCATTTTTAATGTAATAACACGCCAGGTGTTTAATAACTAATGATACGAAGCTCAAAATCAGGCGCTACAGAACATCGGCAACGGGGTGATGGTCCAACAAGTCTCCAGCGATGGGGGGTCAATGGTCACTGGGGCTGCTCTGTCACTAGGGACCCTGTGGTATGGTACCCTCTGCATCACCCTCTGCACTCAGTCATCATGTTTACCAACAGGAGAGCCAGAAGATTAACAAGAGGATTTGATGTCAAACTTTAGCCAGACTTGCACCAGGGTGGGAGGGGCACTTGTTCTACACACACTGTACATATTTGTTTAAGGTGGGAGGTTTGGGTGGGAAGGACTTTTATTGGTAAATATCAGCAGAACAGGTCAAAAGGCAGAGCTCATCAATCATCAACGATTGCACTCGAGCAGAAGTGTGGGTGGAAACCCAGTCTGATAGGCTGAGCTGTAACATTGAGAGTGAGAAGTGTTTTGTGTGTGAATGTGAGTGAATGAAGTGAGTGAGTGTGTGTTTCTGATCAATGTCAGAGAAGCCACTGAAACACAACTCGGAATCACCAGCAGCTTCAGAACAAGCAATGAGGTGATCATCAGCAAATACCTGAGTTGGGGAGAGGGAATAAACTCCCACATCTCCCTCTCTCCATCACTCTCTCTCTCCCACACACACACACATTCTCTCTCTCTCACACCAACTGGAGAGCTGTTGTAATATGCTCTAACACTAGCACCTCGATCTGGGAGAATAAGTACATTGCAGCACTCAACCCAAGTGGGAATTTTTTCACCAGTCTCCAATTGCACTTTTTGTAAAAGGCAGAACAGGAGCAGGAATCTACTTTGGAAGTGAAGGTAAGGCATGAGATTCCAATTGATTTAATCCAGTGTTTCAAGTAAAGCAAAGTGAGTGAGTGAGTGAGCAAATGAATAAGTAAATCCCTGCTTTGCTGGGTGGGGGGGCGCATGGTTTGAATTAAATGCAATTATTTCAGGCTTTTTTAGATGGCTTTTTCAGGGAGTGGTACAAATTTGTATGCATGGATGTGTTTTTACATTTATTTTTCCCCCTCTCTTGTGCAGAGACGAACACACACAACACACACACACAGAGAGAGAGAGAGAGAGAGAGAGACAGTGGTTGCTGCCTTTGCCTTTGCTCCAGTCCAACCTCCAACACTGGATATATGCGAGAGCCAAACGAGAGGCATCATTTAATCGCCCACAAGTCAGGAGGAGGATGCACCCACTTCATCCCCTCTCTCTCCTGCTGGTGCAATGTCTGCTTCAGACGGTGAGTTGGCCATTTCGTTACAATTTCGCAAAGTTTTCTGCAATTTGAGGTGTGTGTGTGTGTTTGTGGGGTGTGTTGGGGGGACTCTGATGGACAGTGAAACGCCTTATAACGCAGCCGGAGCGTAAAAGCCACTGCCACTGACTGACTGATCAGCCCTCAGCCTTGAGGTGCATTGTAAGCCTATAGTTTAGCAATAGTTTCTCTTCCCCTCAGTCAGATCCTGTGCTGTTGGGTTTCCAGTTGGGTTTTACCTTCTCCACTTGACGTTAAAGAAGCTCAAGGACTTTGTGCTCATCACTTTTCCAGGGTTTCTCTCTCTCTCTCTCTCTCTCTGACTTTCTCTCACAGGTATTTCAGGATGGGCACTGTTATAATAATGACTTGAATGTGGGTTCAACCCAGTGAATGGAGTGCACACCAACACACACAGTTATTGTATCTCTCTCTCTCTCTTTCTCTCTATCTCTTCGCCTTCTAATCTTTCCTTTAACACAGTGCGTATTTTCTTACCATATTCACCCCCAGGCAAACATTTGTTGGCTTCCACAGTGCAGACCAGTGGCGGCTTTAAATGTTCTGGTCGACCTGGGCTATGATTGCTGTGAGATGCAGCAATATCAACACCATCCGTGGGTGAAACTTTGCAAAGACTGTATCTATGGGCGCAGGGTACAAATATGTGCACAAATACACGGTCAGTTCACTGTACAGTATATTCTGTGAAGACGCATTGAGGCGTCTCGAAGGCGTGATAAAGCTCTATATCAAATGCAAGGATTATTATTATGGATCACGATTTCCCTAATGAGGATCGACCAACACTACCCCCCCACCCCCGAAATATGCTTGAGCATCCCTCCCACAGCCTGTGTTATGTTCCTTAAGTTCAGTCTCGGTCTCTGGAGACTCTTCCCATGACCAGAATTGTATCTGGAATTGTGCGGGTTTTTTTCTTACTGTTCCAAGACACAGCCACTCGCTGGTTGAATCTGTAAATGCAACTTGCGGAGATTAAGCACTCTACTTAAGCAGTGGTTTCTGATGTTACAGCAGGGAGTTGATTGATTAGTTTTTCAAGAAGCGTATGTCAAAATCTAATCCGTTTTTTGGATTGTGTCAAACATTGTAATGTTTTCTTCTGTGGTGCTTTATCACTGCAACGAATTGCAGAGCTGCAGCAGTGAGATAAGACACTCGTTTCTTGTTTGTACCCTGTGCCCATCCACACAATAAAGGAGCCTTTCTGTGGAGAGCTGTAACAACAACAAGAGGAAACTGAACAAGTTTCTGATCAAGCTGCTTGAAAATTGCAAGGCAATTTCACAAATGCCCAGCAATTATTGTTAACCCTGCTTGAAACTGTTGTACTTTAGATGTTTTACCGAAAAGAAGTAGATGGCTTGCATATGTATTTAAATCAAGTCTAGATTCAGTGCTCAGGCATCTTAATTGAAGACCCAGGCAGCAACATTCTCAAATATCAATCTAATACATTTAACTTTCTAAAATTAAACTATAGCTCTTTAGGAGTATTGACTTTTTTTTAGCTGGATTTGTATCTTTTATTTAGCTGTTTTTTTTCTGGGATACTCTCCCACAATCGCTCTGCCTTGCTCCCATCTTCAGGTCACACCTGAAGACCTTCCTCTTCGACCGTGCTTACCATCACACACACCCACCCCATGATTTGTCTTCAGGCTCTGCTACTGTCAAATGTTTTGAGATGCTCCCTGTGTGAAGGACACTATATAAACGCAAGTTGTTGTTTTGTTAATTAATCGCTGAAAGCCTGTTAATGGGTTTGTTTTCTAGCTTCAAATCAAAACTGTTCAAAAGGTTAGCCACCACAGTGTATTTGCAGAGGAAAGCACAGCTACTCTGGAGCATCATCACGTCACTGACACTTCAATAACTTGCATCTTATCTGTTTCTGTCTCAATGTAGAAAAAACTATTCAAAATAAAAAAAGGAATAAACATTTACTGCATAATGGACATCATGGTTCTTCTAATAGGAATTCACAATACCTGCATTGAGGAGAATTTTCAGAAGAAATGGCTCAGAAATTAAATTGAAGTGAATTTTTCAGGCATTTCAGTCTAATGAGAAAAAACACTCATTTGTAGGGCAACTTTATCATTTTCCTGATATCTATTTGTATCTCCAACTCTTCAATAATATTGATTCATGATGGTGTGCGGATTCACGGACATTAGGCTCCTTTCATTACCTTGGAAGAGGCCATTATTCGAATGTGAGCTTAGACCACAGGTAGTGTGAATTTGGGTGACTGAGAAGTAGGGGAGTGACCACAGGCCTCGGTTAGTTGTGTTATCATCTGTTATCCACACACGTTGATCAATGAATCGCAATCGGGTTTGAAAACTGATATGTTTCTCCCCCTTTAACATATGACGGCCACTAAGGCTAATTGCAGTAAAGAGACTTCCACCTGGCTAAAATAAGATAACTAAACATGCTGTAGTGTCTTTGCTAACTGAGCAATTGGAGGAGCAAATTGGATAGGAAGTTTTACACTGTTCATGCTGTGGGTGTCAGAATCCACTGCTACAAATGGAAGTAGTTTTGGTTGTTCTCATACATACTCCTCTCCTCTTTAATGAGTAGCTTGTCGAATGGCCAATTTTTAATTCAGCATGTTTGTAAAGCATACAAAGCAAAGCCATAATGGACGTGCCTGTATCTTGCTTGGCAGATTGAAGAGAGACTGGAAGAGACTGAAAATGTAATGCATCAATCTTTCAGCCCATCTTGTATTTTGCAATACAGGGCACAAAAACATTCTAGTATTCAATCACACCTTAAGGACTTGTACAATTCAGATACACGCACAAACAATCACACAGTTTTTTTTAAAAAATCCAAATTACATTTCTTTCCCAATTGTGGCATTTCTAAAAGAGATTATGAGAATATCTAGTGCAATATGATATTTGACAAAATATGTATGTCTAATACATATCTTATGCAATAATTCTGCACTGGCCATTCATCAACATTTTAGAACCCTTTCTCCATTCTAAATCATTGGGGGACAATAATTTGCCTGTTCTCATAAGCATAGTGAGGTAGTGAATTTTATTACTGGGAGATATTATGCCAAATATACTTCATGTCCACTATTTTCCTCTGGTTTTTCCCTTCCTGAATTAGCAATTGGTATGGTTCTATAGACATTGACCCATTCAGGCTACCCTGAAGATATTGTATGGCAATTTAACATTCTTCTAGTGCCTCTCCTAAGTGATCGTTCTTCATGTAAAACACTAGCCAGCGAGTTTCAGCAAGCTCTTTCATCAAGAGGGCATCACAGTCCAGCCCCATTTTGTTCTTCCCAATGTAAGGACAGATGTATGTATTTCCAGCAGGAGCTGTTAGGTGGTGATCATCAGTAGGTTGTGTGTTTTTTTTCCCCCCCCTCTTCCATTGTCTAGAGATACTGTGGTCATAGTTTCTTACACATACACACCCTAACACACACACATTCATACACACTCTAGCACACACATGCATGGAGTCCTGTAGCTCAGCGGTTAGAGCACTCGCCTCACAAGCGAGAGAGCTGGGTTCGATTCCCAGCAGGGCAAAACCTTGGGCAAGTTTCCTTATTCCACAAGCCTAATAATAATCCCTCAAGAAAAAAAACAATAATAATTTGGTCACTTCAATCCACGACTGATTGTGGGATGCTGCTGTGCATAATTGGCTGCTGCATTTCACCCACAAATAATCGGTCAATTCACTTTAAGGTCGATTCTGTGAAGTGCTTTGAGACGTCTAGAAGATGTGAAAAGCGCTATATCAAATGCAAGGATTATTATTATTACCAACCTAATGTGGTGCCGAGAACTCTGACAATAGACTTTCTGGACATTGTCCATATGTATTACCAGTTGCTCATAGTTTATTACCATGATTACCAACCCTGAGAACAGCGAGAGCATTACATAGCAAGGTATTTTATTGCTTGGCTCACTCTTCACACCATACAGCATCAGGATATCTCACTTGTATAACATTCTCAACCAATAAACAATACAGTAAACTCTGTAATAACTTTGCAGATTATCTTGTATGCAATGCTTCCTTTTACTTCTGTCTGGTGACTGAATAATATATACATCTGCTACTGGTTATTGCAGGTATCTAATTTATCTAACCCATGTTGCTATCAATTCAAAGAATAATCTTTTAATATTGTCCAACCTGTCCACAAATTTTCTTATCTCCTGTTAGTGTTGCATTTAAATTGTCATGCATGCATAATATATACAGGTATACACTGTTTAAATCTTCTTACTAGACAATTAGGATACAGAAGATTCAACTAATCTCGAACTATAATATTGTTGAATGACTCTTTTGGCAAGTTATGTTCAAAGAACAAAACTGATTGATCTAATTCAAAATGCAATAAGCATAGACGTCAGTGGTTGATTGTAATGTGCACAAAGGAATCAAAATATTACAAACTTTAAAAAAATATGATTGCCAAAAAAAAACATGTTGGAAACTAATATCCTTTTCAACAAACAATCCAGAAAGCTAATCAAACTACAGGTAAAATATCCTATAATTAATTGCATTGTAGCATTTTATTTTGAGTAAACGTAAACTATAACAAAAATCTTCACCTTACAATTTATGTACATTTTCTTAAAGAACAATATTATAAAAATAACAATGGTTAAAACATTAGTGCAACACAATAATCTGAAGACATGATTGACATTTTAGCAGACATTATAACAAAGAACACACTGTAGTAGAAAATTGAGTTTCATACAACATTACACTGATTTTAATATTTTAATAGCAAGTTGTAGCAGTTTGCCTATAGTCATGTGCATAATGATAAATATGTTTTAGGAACTATTCTGAAACATATCTGCAATAATACTTTCAGTTGAAATGAATTGAAAGTCGTTTGATTTTCATGGGTTATATGGCCCCCGGGACTGTTTCCAGTTGAGGCA